TATATAATTTTTCGGTTTTCTTTTGTTGAGGAAGTTGCGACTTAATGTTGTGTTACTAAAAAGTTTTAAAATTAAAAGTTTTCTATTAAAATTTTTTTATCAGTTTAGTATTATGAGTCAAAAAAATCATCTATAAGAAAAACTTTGTTCTTTTCACCCTGACTTTTCTCAATTTTTTTCTTCTTTGCCTTTCATTTTTTCTTTTGAGAAATAATATTATGATTATAGATTATCTAAAAATACAACACCGTTTTGTTCACCTTCAGGGGAACAGAGTTTCCACTTATTATTCTTAAAGTTTAATACTTCTTATGAGGAATAATTTTAATTAATACTGCTATCTTTCCCAGTTAAAAAAAAGTTTAATGATGTCTTTCAGTAAAATTTCTTATAGTACGTTTCTTGCGTACAGTAACTTTGAAGATGACAGTGTTCTTTGGTCTTTTTTTGGATTTTCAAAGACCGAGTTTGAATTATCATAACTCAGAATAATCGAATAAAAAAACTACTGTAAACCACGTTGAATTTTGTAAACTAATATAAGTGCTAATAAATGTAGTTTGAAGAGTCATCCCAACTGTTTAAAATGTTGCTTTTTCTCCAGTCTTTTAAGTTCTTCACCATTGGAATGAAACTGAGAAACTGCACTGTTTGGAGTTTTAAAAGCTGAGATATCATTCATAAATGCTGCACAACAGAAGTTTGAATTGAGGCAGCTTAGATAAAAGAACATTTTTGTAATATTTTAAACAAGAGGAGGGTTTTGAGCCACAAAATAATATCAGATAAGAGGTGAGTGAAACGAGAATCTGATTCATGAAAAATTCTAATTTATTTCTGTTCTTCTCATTGAGATCCGTCAATTATTGGAACTTTAGAAATCTTTAGATGAATCAGCTGTTTAAGTTATGGTTTGTCTATACGTCAGTTACAGAGAGTAAACTTTATTACTCTATTTATTGATATGCAATTTTTTGTTTTTCTCGTTATTTTTTAGTTTACTGTCATTATTCACTCAGCTAATTACTCAACAATGCGAAAGAATTAGATGAATTTAGCACCATAAAAAACACTGCGTGAAATAAAATAAGCAAATAAGTTTTAATTTTCAAACAAATATCTTCTAAAATTTTTTAGAAAAGCACCGTTAAAAGCTTACAAATCAAAAATCTGATATTTTATTGAGCTATAAGAGGTAATGTCTTTCTTAAAAATATGTTAATTTCTTATGGCACACGAAAGTGCATAAGTTTAGCAACTCTAAATTCTCGCTTTTTTTTGAAATGTGTTAATTGACATATCTACATTATAGTTTCAGTAGAACGCAATTTAGGTAGACTTTTCTTTGTATATGCAACATCTGAGCAATTTTTTGTAAGTAAGAAACGAATTTTTTGAAAAGCTCAGTAGATAAAGAATTTCAATTGTTGAAATGTTGAGTGGGCTTAAAATGTTAAAAAAAGCTCACTTTGCAGCAGAGGTTCTTTTAAATAAACATAGTGGAGTGACCAAGATTTGAAAAGAAACTACTACACTTGACAAGATTTCTATTTGCTTTTCAAACGATACCATTCCGCTGAAATTGCTAGCAAGCTTTTTTTATTAAACTACAAAAGATCTTGAAATTTGCGAGGTATTCGCAAATTTATAACATACTTTATTAGACGTTTTTCTTGAAACTTTTATTTTTGAACTCAGATATAATTAAAATGATTAACCTACTGTTCTTTCTCATCCTAGGACTTAGCTGAATTGTCTTTCCTTCGTTATAATTTGTGTAATCTTTATAGCTTAATTGAGTAAAATGCTTTTTCGCAAAACTTACTTTTATATAGATTTGCGACTTTCAAAAATAGCGATAATAGAAACTCAAACTCATTTGTGAAAAAGTTTAATACACATAAAAGCTTCATTTGCTGTCCACTGTTCAGCTATAATGTGAAAATAAATAACGGAGGAACTAAGAGTTGCAAGTTTAAAATAACTGTTTCGTAAGCAAAACAATTGATACTCTTTAGAAGTTTAATTACTTAATTAATTACAATAAAATTTAATTACAATCACTGTCATCCCATGTATTCATGAAACTCCTATTTTCCTCCAACGAGACTGCAGGCCCATGACGTTCTGATGGAAATTATACAGGGCTCAACCAATATGAGTTTGGAACACATGGCTACGCAATGAAATTTGTTTGCTTCAACTTTTTTTTTGAAAGAAAAAGAAACAATTTTGTGTACCGTTTTCATGCAGTCCTCTTTACAGCGCATTGATACGATCACTGAATTATTTCACAGTGTTTGCATAATCTAATTTTTCAACAATTTATTTAATTAAAACAGCCACTTCATAACGCAGTATACAGCTACAGACCTATCATAACTAAAAGTGAAATGAAGGTTTAAAACTGCAGTCAACAACTGTCACAGTAAGTAAATCCAAAAGAAATCAAGCTTTCAGGTGTATTTCCTGAAATTATTCAAGCTTTACCATAAAAATGTGTAAAGGGCTCATCTCATTCAAAAATTCACAACAATTATTTCGCAGAAACGTCTAAGTTGCACTGTACGCATTAAGGCCGTTCAAAGAGATAACGAATGAAGGCAGATTATCTAGTTTTTTTGGCAGTGTAGCTTAAAGATGGAATGTTACACTCGGAGAGGCAAGCATCGTGGCACTTTTGTTTACACTGGTTTAACGGCCGGCGCTGATGTGCGCAATCGAGTTCACAAGTTGGCAAGCAAGTTGAATGACATGGTTGGAAAACCGGAGCATTTTCTCGAACACAAGCAACTGCACATGTTGCCTGACAGGAACGTTGGCAATCAACAAACAGTTGATTAGCACTTGTACATCGCTTGACACATACTCCCTCACACAGCTGCTGGCATTTGCTAGGGCGCCTGTGTACAGCAGCTACCGGAAGACTGCTGAAAAAAGTTGGCTGATAGACAGCTTGTTGTTGGATACAAAATGGGGTACAAAGCGGTTGGCACTGAACGGGACAATAAGCAGTTTGTGTTGCTGCTAGCGGAACTACGTTTGTCGGCATTGAAATTGACGGCACTGGTTGCGCAACTAACTGCGCCGGAACAAAATAATTTGATGAAATCTCAGCGGTCGAAGAGGAATATGTATCTGCACTTCCCAACGTCGCTGCGGGAACGTACTCCGTTGGTTTGTTACAAAGGGTATCGCATTGCGGTTTACAGCTGGCTGCACACTGTGCCGGTGATATATCGGTGCAGTGTGCGCCACATAAAATCATGCAGTCCCTGGTACAGAAAGGATATAAATAAATTGGAATATATGTCGTAGGATAGGTATAAACAGGCGTAACTAGAGGGTAGAGTTTCTGTTGACAAACGTTATCACATTGTGTTCTACAGAAGTCATCACAGTCTACAGTGTCACCATAAAGGCGTCTACACTGGTCTGTGCATCCTGTAAAGCAAACTTTATGGCATAATACTGCTGGAGGCTGACTAACTTTTACAGCAGGTTTAGGTGTTGTAGAGTGATCGTAATTTATGGAAGTGATGGGAACAGTGACAGTAGTGGTTGTGGTAGTTGTCATAGTTGTAGTTGTTGTAGTCGTGGTAGTAGTAGTAGTAGTGGTAGGTTGTGAATAAGTGGGTGGTGTTATAGTGGTGATAGGCAAGTTTGAACCGGTCGCTGCTGCTGCTGTCGCTACAGTTGTTGCGGGCAGTGATGGTGAAGAAGTTGGTGGTCCAGTGAAAGGAATGTTAGAACACCGCACTAAACACAAGATTTCACATCTTCTCCAACAAGGAGCGTTTCCCTGGCAGTTCTGTACGCAGTTTTCAGCACAACTCGGAAAGCATAATATGCATTTTAATTCGCACAACGGCTGACAAGGAGCGATACATACCGGTGCGGGTGTGGTAGTCGGTGCCATTAAAGTAGGCTCGAAGGCTGATGGAATTACTCCTGCAGAAGTTTCACTTGGTGTTTGACACCTCTGAATACATGGATTAATACAAACTGTAACACAGACAACAGTCGACATTTTCATAGTCGTACAAGGATTCTGGCAAATACTGTTACACGAAGCTGTGCACTGGTTGACTGCTGATGTTGCAGAGACTGTTGGCTGAAATTGGACAGCATTATTGCTTTCACAGCTACCCTTACAAGACTGAGCACACTTTGGCAAGCAAATTGTAATTGACAGAATTGGTGAACAATGGTTAACGCAAGCTGTAGTGCAATCGCTCCTGCAATTATGGACAAGCGCATTTTGCTGAGCCATACCCTGAGAAACGACTTGTGGCAAAAGTTGCTGGTCGTAATTGCCGTTACTGTTATCGTACGCCGGTTGCGCGCATGCAAATCGACAAGTATTCTCGCATGTTATTTCGCATTGCGAATATGGTATACCAAGGACAGCACATCTTTTCTGACACCGACTGCGACAGTTCTGCTCACAAACGGGCTGCAAATTGTTCTCTTCTTTCCTCTGTAAACCTTCTGTTGCATTGGAGCCAATCAGTGATAAAACCGTTTGTGCACAAGTTTTTTGACACGCGTTTTGGCAAGCTGCGTTACAGTAGTCCGAGGAATAATCTTGTAAATTACAAGAGCGTGTGCAAGACGCGTGACACGAGGGCCGACATACGTCCATCTGTAATATAAACAGTGCTTTACTGTATATAGACATTACAAGTTCTAGTTAGTTGATATACTTACGTCGATGACAGAACACGGTCATTTTTAAGCACCGTGCAGCTACTTTTTATAACATAAGAAAAGACCTTGCTTGTGTCAAATTATCTTTTAGTTAAAAAAACTCATAATATTATAGGCATAGAAACACAAGTTCAGTAACTAGCTAACAATGGGAGTGCAATGGCACGCCGACCGTCGCCTTACACAAGTACATGCATCCGAAGTGCTCTCCTTGCCAGGTGAACGACATGAGCAATAGGGCACCTCCTGATGCTTCGGCGAAGTGCAGTCACACTGGCGCTTTGTCCGGTTGTTAACCTCGACTTCCTAAAAATTCTAGTAGGGATTTATTTACATCTAAACATCCGATATCTTATTTGATTCAACTCTGAATATTTTCGTTAAACTTTGCTCAGAATTAGAAGATTTAGAAGGTTTTAGGCTTTGTCTGTGGTTTTCTAAAGATCTAATGCTATTTGATTTCCATTTTTTCCATTTCAAAAAGCATTTTTCGCATTTTCATCGCTTCGCAAAGCTGTTACTAATTTTAAAAAAGAAATTGAAACTCTAAGTATTCTAAAAAAATTTAGAGTATCTATTAGTAGCGTCCAAAAAAATTTTAAGATATGAACTGTTCTTCCCGAACACAAAAACTGAGTCAAACAAAGTAGCCGGGCCGCGGGCTATTATTTTGTCAACTAGCAGTTCACAATTTAGGCTGTGATGAGGAGGGACGCAAACGGAAAAAACAAAGTTAAAATTAGCTTGAAATAGCTTATTTTCAACGTAGATTCGAAAAGAAAATTCAAAGTAGAGTAAAAAAACGCCCTAAGAATGGATAATGCACCTGGTAGTTCTTTTGGATAATAAGAGTTATTTCAAAAATTTAGGTGAAAATTGGTGAAGACAGTGGAGTTTGTCTAATAATTTTTTAATAAAAGTGCCAGTGCTGACTGCTGTTCAGCAGTATCTTCCTTGATCCCTGCAGCTGGTTACTACAAATACAGTTTCTGTGTTGTTTTTACAATCGATCTCCGGTTTACTTTTTTCTGTTCTTCACTTTCCCGCAGAGAAAGCTTTTGGAAGAATGTAGGAAGGGAGACAAGAAGGTGGGTAAAGGACGAAAAGCAAAAAAAGCGGTAATGTTCGCTTTTTTGCAAATGTAAAACGAAGAAGATAAAATATTTCGTCCTCGACGGCCTCAACAAACATACCCAGTAACTCAGGTCAGAAGTAATTGTTTCGTTTGAAGATATAATAGCTTGGAAAATAATTTTTATTTGAAAGTTGTTAAAAACTTTTTAGGATCGGAAATGAATGATGCTCTCTATCAAGAAATTTCCAAAAACTTTCTAAGCGAAATTAACTGAAAGTTTTTTGTATCAGAGTTGTCATAAAAATAAATATACAACCAAGAAGTATCCTGAAATGTTGCAAGATTTGTGCCAACTTTTGCATTACGATCATAAATTCGCAGCAAACGAAACCTCTACTAGGTGGTAACATTAAACTTCGTTTTTTTACCGATTTTTAAGTTAAACCAAAAAATGTAATTTTGTGGGCTTCAGTAGTACCCTTCAACAGACAATTTTTTCTGCGTTTTACTAGAAACAGCTGCATTTGAAGCTGAAAAACAAATTTTTTCAAAGACAACTTATTCTCTGGCATTTATAAAACTCCTAAAACATACATCTATTAGAGCATGCTGCATTGACTGGAAATACGATAGTCATGTGAAGCCAAGTTCGATAAATACGTTAGGTAAGGGAAGACATTCCAACTAAAACACAATTTCTGAAAGAGCCGAGCAACACGAGCACTTGGAGATGCTATATAAAAAAGTCAATTTTGCGCCAGTTCAGTGCTACCTACAGTCGGATGATTTTTTTTTGCCACATTTTTATTCAGATCATAAAGTCTTACTAGTTTATTTTGTGAAAACTTTTCATACTTTATCAAATTATTTCTTTAATGTCTCAACTACCACTCTAAAAGCCATAGAATTGTCCACTACATAACTGTTGTGGAAGACAGAAAAAGAGTTACATATGTGATAAATCGCGATGTAAGCATTCTTGGGTAAGGGTTTGTATTAGCTCAGTCTAAAAATTATCATTCTGAGATAACGTATACTGTCGGTTTAAGTTCTTTTTAAACCCTAAGTTTCTTTCAGTGCTTCGAAAAATAAGCGGATTTTTTACTCTAATCAGCCTGTTCGTAAACTTGTCATATTCTATTTAAATATACTCTTGAAAACCAGCTAGACGGAGTAACTACTTTTTAAAAGAAAAGTAAATTTCGAAAAATTTGAACTTTAATTAACTTTTTGAAGATGGTTAGCTTGCTTTTTTTAATAAGAATAATAAGAATAGCAGTAAAACTCATGATGGTGACAAATGACATCATTTGATGATAATAGTTTACATGGAAGCGAGAGAGAAAAGGCACAAAAACTAAAAATGTATCGATAAGCCAAAAAATTAACAGTTACCTGTAAGTTAACAGTTTCAGCCGATACAAAACTACAGGGAAAATTGATTATAATTAACAGAATAGCCAGCAACGATTCTTGGCGACGCAACATTGGCTAATAGAGTTAAAATTTTAAATGTTTCTGCTTAAGTAGTACAAGCAAGATTACCACCAAAGCGTCTTGTTATTTCCAAAAACGGTCTTCAGATGTGATTTGTTGTTGTTCTAATCACCTTATTTCTCGCTTTTTTTTTCTTGGTTTTGTTTGTTTACGCTAAGAACAAATAAAGAAAAAATTTGTTGTAGAATTTGGTCTAAAATTTTTATATTGCCATTTAGTTTTGGTCGAAAAAATAGTTCTGATGACAGATGTTAAAGAGGTCAAATTGACAAAAACTGTTTTAGCCCTTCTTTTTTTTTAAAGTAAACTTTGAAGAACGAATTGTTCTCTTAAATTTTTTTTACATTTTTTTTTTCACAAACAACTGAAAATATACGACTTATGGGTCTACGAAAGCACTAATTTTGGTAATTTATCTGAAACTCCGTCAAAGAACTTTGAGAAAAGTTGAAAAAAAAAAAAAAGAAGAAGGCGAAAGAAAAGTACGTCACTGCGTCATTTAGTGCTTTACAGATTCAACTTTGAATATCCAACAGGTCTTTTTTTTTTTTTTTTTTTTTTTGTCTCTACAGGTCTTTTTATCTAAACGGTATGCTTCACAAAATTCTTCATAAACGGAAGAAGTACAATAAATGATTTATAAACCGCTGTTTATTTAATGAGTTGTTGAACTCCAGGGGAAACCTAATATCAAAATAATGCTGTTTTTGCTGTTTGCAGATTCGCGAGGACATCTGCGGACTTGTAGTATAAACGGAATTTCAGATGCAGTAATTTTTTCCGTAAGAGTAATTGCACTTTACTTTAGCGGTCATGAAAGCCTTGAGAATAAAAAGCAAACATATTTGATACTTTTTAACCTTCTTTTTTGCTTCTTCTAAAAAATTGTAATATTTTCTGCTCGTTTTAAGTGCTTCTAAATGACCTGTCCTTAAAACTCTACAAGATGTTTTTTTTAGCTTTAATTTTTTTTTTTAATTTTTAAGAATCAAAAGTGTTGACGTTCATGCTTACGATTTTCTGAAGAACAAAACTACTTGATTAAGGTAATGACAATCAATAAAATCACTTCAACAACTCTTGCAGATAAGACAGAATTTCGGAATCGTAATCTTAGGATAAAACGTTTGTGTGGCAGAAAAGCAGACCACAATTAAATATAGAAGTACAGAAGTTTTCTGCAACTAATTCAGCAGTGAAAGATAATTAATTACTTATTGGTGAACTCAAGCAGGTGGATGAAATTAGTGTAAATAAGCTAACAGACTCATCAATTTTTTTTTTTCTATATTTACGTTCGTAGTGTTGGGGTATGAAACCTGAGGTGCTTTCTAAAAAACAATTTTTTATAACAATTAGAAACCGTCTCCCATATACAGATAGTTTCTCCAAATGCCACTAAAGAATTATTTGACATGAAATAGTGAACAAGCGATAAAAAAAATTACATTTACACCCGAATATATAATTCTGTTGATTTCTACTGCATTATGGCCAACCATATTAGAGTGTGCAAATTTAAAAGAGCAAGTAAAATAAGGTGTAATTTTAGTAGAGTTCCATATGTGCAATTTTAAGATAAAACTGAAGACTTTTACTTCCTAAAGTCACAGAAAAAGTAAATTAAGCGGCATATTCAAGCTATTAAACACCTATATTTTAGGCGAAAAAGAAAGTCTTACACAACTCTTTGAATATTTAGCTATAATAAAAATAAAAATTGCTGCAGTGAGTGATTCCTAAAGTATCTCACAATATTCAAATCTGAGAGTTGAGATGTTTTGGTTCTGGCTACAGTCTTTTTCACTTTAGTTTTATAGGAAAGAAAATGTTTAAATTGTGCGTTACTAAACTGCTGTTAGCCATGAAATAACTCTCAGACAAGTGAATTGATTTTAAATTAAAATTGTAGCGTGGTAAGAAGCAAATGACAACTGCAGTAGATCCAGAGAATAGTCAAGCTTCCAAATGGGCAGAATTATAGCTGGATGACTTGATGCACTCTATATCTGCTCAAAACTTGGTAACTATTTAGTTCCTTCGAAAAATGAGCCAATACTATGCTAACCTGCAGTCTTTTGTTCGTTAGGCAGATGTGCTGTTGTCAAATTCAGTTCATATCCGTCTTCCAAATTCAGAAAAAGCCTATAAATGATAATCAATGATGCTCATAAATGCCCTAAAAATTTCTAATTCACTAGGTTTTTTACTTCAAATAGCAGAAATTTATAAATTTCTTGACGTTCCACATGTAAATAAATAACAGAATTCTTTTTTTTTAATCTGAGCAGATTGGCTGTTATCTGATTATTAACAAGAAAAGTGTTTTAATCCATCCAGAAACAATATTCACGATTTTATCT